TCTCTGCTTCCTGGGGTACACACTGCCGCTGGGGGAAGGACGACACCTTTGGATACACACTGGCTGGGGACCACCTTCTGCTCCCTGGGGTACACACTGCCGCTGGGGAGGAAGGACGGCACCTTCAGCTCCCTGGGATACACACTGCCGCTGGGGAGGGAGGACGGCACCTTCTGCTCCCTGGGACACACACTGCCGCTGGGGAGGAAGGACGGCACCTTCTGCTCCCTTGGTTACACACTGCCGCTGGGGAGGAAGGACGGCACCTTCTGCTCCCTGGGGTACACACTGCCGCTGGGGAGGAAGGACGGCACCTTCTGCTCCCTGGGGTACACACTGCCGCTGGGGAGGAAGGACGGCACCTTCTGCTCCCTGGGATACACACTGCCGCTGGGGAGGAAGGACGACACCTTCAGCTCCCTGGGATACACACTGGCGCTGGGGAGGAAGGACGGCACCTTCAACTCCCTGGGCACACACTGCCGCTGGGGAGGAAGGACGACACCTTCAGCTCCCTGGGATACACACTGCCGCCGGGGAGGAAGGATGGCACCTTCAGCTCCCTGGGGGACACACTGCCGCTGGGGAGAGAGACGGTTGTCTCTTCCCTCTGTACGGTGCACTGCCGCTGGGAAGGGAGGTCGCTGCTCTCCTCTCCCTGTAACTCACTCTGTCGCTGGAGACGGGTTGTCAATACCCCCAAACTCCACAGTTGGTACTCGAAGTTCCGTGCGTCTTGGTTCTCAGCACTCAACATGCGCATCACTTGATGGACCACCTCATCTGAAGGGTTTGGGCCAAACCAGACCAGCCGCGCCTTTAATTCCTTCATGAAATCAGCACCCTCATAGCACTGTGACAGGCGGATTTGCAATTCACTGGCTGCTGTCCAGGGTCTTGCTAGCTCCATGTTGCTGTAGGTAGGGGCGCTGCGCAGAGGCTAGCGTTGCCCTCAATTATAAATCCGTAACTCCACACATTACCGGTGTCTCTGAGCTGCTGGTCCTCGCACTAGGATGCCATCCCACCGCTGCCACCAAATGTGACGGAACGCTGGCACTCCAACTGAGTACCTCCGCCAATCGATGCTCCTAGTGCTCGCTGAGGACTCCAAGCACTCCAACCGACACCATCAGCACTGCAGACCCCACTTCCAGCGATGCAACTGCGCCGGGGTCTCTGCTGTTTCCACCCACCCTGGACCCAAGGCCAGGATCCAGCTTCCAGTGGGTGAACCTCTCTTTCCCCAGAGAGCAGGAACAGGAACAAATCAAGCTATTGCAAGAGCTTCCTCTGGGGAGTAAGTGATTATAGCAATCCCCAGAGTGTAGGTATCCCTTCCCCCAAACATGAGCCAAGGCTTAATGCTGGAACAAGACTGATTTACTGGTACACAGAACTCACAATTTATGCAACCCAAACTCCTCCTCTGGGCCAGGCTAGATAATTGAGTTGCTACAATACACAAAGCTCAATTATCTGCTGGCCAGATATAATACAGTTTCATAAAACACACAGGGACCCCAAAACATGCAATAACCCCATAAAAAGTATATCCTTGGAACCGGGGGATCTGGGTGAACCACATATCCAAAATTCACCCAGATCCGTTCAGTACTTTGGAAAATACAGTTTAATGCAGATTCTGCAGAACATATAAAGGCTAAATGAAAAACAATCACTTTATAATGTGTCCCCTGCTGTATAGTCCAAAACCACTGCATGATGTCTCTGTGCACCAAATACTGGCGAGATGGCACCGTGTTGAAAAGTCCACACAGTGTCTGTGAGTTAAAATGGCCGCCATCCATTGTTCTCACCATGTGCTTCTGATACAGGAAATGGTGACCATGGGAAGTCAAAACAAAGCCAAAGTCAAATACCAGAAATTCAAGATCAAGAACACACTCTTGGATAACCATATGCATGAAACCACTGTCTGCAGGAACCAACTGAAACAAAAGGATTAATGGCAAAGGAACGGGTGTGGCAACATAAAACAAACATTTAAAGGAATCCAGGAGAAATGAACCCAGAAAACCCAGCATAAAGAAAACTAGACACAGAATAGAAAACCAGAAAAACTAAACAAGAATTGTAAAAAGAGTACTGGATACCAAAAACCAAGGCCAGACATCTCTGCAGAACAGAACAGGATGTGACACTATAAGTGGCTCTGGTTAATGTGAGTAGTTCTATGGAAAAAATCTTGCCATTCATATATTTTATAGACGGTATTATACTATGCAAGCATCTGTTTTCAATGCCGATCTGAACTAACCATCTCCCAGTGAGATCTATATAGAAGTATTTATTGCTCAAATTATATGTGCACTCCCCACCTTTTGTGTTTTATTGTTATACTTTTTATTTTTGCCAAAGAAGGTGGTCAGTGGCACTGGGGATATTGTGCTATTATATATACTAGCGCCTAAGCACACCTTATTTATTTTTTGTTTGGTAAATAGATTGCACTGCATCAACAAGTAAATGGACAGCTCTATGATATTTAAATTAATTTACATAGTATGCTCTGTCTGTACCAGGATGTGGATATAGAAATACATGGCTGGATTAGAATGCAATTCTTTGGACTCCTGGTTACATTTATTTTCAATTTTTTGATCAATTCTAGGTGTGAACACAGGATGCGTGGGAAGCTACATCTATGACAAAGACCCTGAATCTAAGGCCCAGCCTTAAGGGAGAAATTATACCTTTTACAGCTTCTGAAGATCTCATTTTGTTATCCACAATGTCCATGCTGTTTGTAGATCTTACTAATATGTACGTTAGAGATGCAGTAGCTTAGATTATCTCTGTGTAGTTTGAACAATGTAAGCAGCTGTGTTATGTACTCAACGTAGTCTACTGCTAACTTTTGTATGGTTTGGTCACAAATGTTAAGCTTGTAATACATTTCTAATAATGTTTTTTTTGTTGTTTTTTTTAAAGTTGTATATCTAATATGTTAAAATGTACCACTTTTTGTAAAGAAAAAAAAAATTGCACCAATTTAACTTTACCCTCTACAAAAGCAAATATAATGGTCATCAAAGCCTGAAAAACAAATTTCTAAATGACACAAAATTTTGAAAATGTTTTCTTAGTTGTTAATGCATATGAGTTATTAGTCTCAAAGGTTTCAGTATTTCAGAAAGTGTTACCTGTTATACATTCTCAAAACTATTGGTTGAACAGAAAATCACATTGCTACCCTTCCGGCACAGAAAATATTCTGGAATTTGGACTTTGAAAGATGAGCTAATAGAAACATTTTCTAAACATTCCAGGCAAGGCAAATCGATCTGGATATGTTAATCATCAAAAAAATTATTAAGAATTTTTGTTCTAAGTATTAAAAGAAAAGTTGTTTTCTTTTATCTGTGAATGAGGATTTCAGTATTATGATATCTCTTAACAGTGTCAGAGTTAACAATTTCCAAAATTTTCACTTCGGGCTTATGGTGAAAGTTTTTCTAAATCACTGTTTACATTTTTACGAAAGCAGAAAATGATCTTGTACTGTGGTTATAAAATAATTTTATTTTCATTTAAATACTTTATGAAATTATATATTATTGTAGAGTTTACTAATGCCAAAATTTTACAGTGCCCAAAGTTGTTTCACAGTGAAAATGTCTGTATTTACCCTAAAGCTATAATCCAGTAGGTCCTTGGTTGAAAGAAAACTGTTAGACTTTTTGAATTGTTCATATCTTTAATTCTTAAACTGCAAAACTAATAAATACCTGCAATATATATTGACTCCACTCGTCCTCTATTATTATGACTGACTGTAGTTTTATCTGTCAATTTGCACATATTAAAGGATTTTCTTTAAAGTTATTTGTGTTGACTTATAAATTGCTTACAATCATTCGCATCCTTAGCTCACACTGTTTTAACTCTTTCAGGGCTGCATCTAAGAGCAGCAACAATGAAAAGATCTTAGCTGAAACACTGTAGGGGAATCTTACACATATTTTAACGATTTGCAGTTCTATGTAGGATTATATCAGACAAAATATTTTACCGGTTGCAGTCTAACGTCACATATTCTGATTTCCTAGTCACCGCTAGATGTCGCTATTGTTCAATTTACAAAAAATGGTGTGCTGAACGTTTAATTCTGACAAAGAATTAAACAGAATATTAGTGCAGAGCGATTCTGAATTTAATTTTAGTTATGAAGATGATTATAACCCCAGTAAATCAAGTAATTTGGATTCAAGTGCCACAGAAAATTTTAAATTTGGCGATGAAAATGAAAACGTTGTGGATGAAAACAAAAATGTTGAGTATAAAGAGCTACCTGCTGAAAATGTGCACAAAAAAAATATTGGGAAAGTTACCTCCGTAATAGTCCTAATTTTCCAAGACACCTTTTTACAGATCCCAGACCAGGAATCGAAATCCCAAATGGCACGTGTGGAAACGATATTGTTTATTTTTAGTCAGTTTTTTACTGACCAGCTACTGAATCAAATTGTCACAGAAACAAACAGATATGCAATAGAAAAAATAAAAAAAATGGACTTCTCTGCCTCAATATTTAGTTTGGAAAAAGCCTTCCTGGGCGTTATAATGAATATGGCTCGTAATTCAAAATCAGAGTTGATTGGCTCAATTGCATGCCCTTCTTTACTGATGTGTTTTCCAGAACTAGATTCTTACAAATTTTCTGGATGCTCCTGTGACAAACTCCCCTTTTCATGTGAGTTTCCCACGAGCTCCTGGAGGAGCCTAGAAATATATACAAAAGTCTATTCAAATATTAATAGTAACAATAGTAATAGTTATAGGGGTCTATTCCGATATTGAAAAGATTTTAGATATTCTAACTGACAACAATAATTAAATACTGGATCTATTCCAGGTATTTTGAAGACTGAAGGGGGTTCAAAACATTTTTTTTTTTTTTAAAGTATGCCCCGCATGAGCTGTGGTCTTGACAGCTTTCTTTGGGTCTGCGGGAAGAAGTTTGTTTTCCATGAGCCAAAGCCAGAATGACGTGACGTGATGTTGCACGCAAGCACGCCTGCAGCCGGACGTGAGGTGTGGAGGTAGCCTAGGTAGAGGCTCTGGTTAATGCCGGAGCGAATGCTGAGGATGGGCAAACTACGAGGCTAAGAGGACCCACTGCTAATAACTATGATGGACGGACATGCCAATGAGATGCGGTGAGGACTTGACTATCAGCTACCCGATTGGATCACAGAGACGCGAGTGGGCCGTCCTTACCGGCGGCTTTCCTGCAAAGCACCATTCTCCCTCAAGAGTGAGCGAGGTGCGGCTAGAGGTGCCTGGAGTGCACTGGATCAGCTAACAAGTCTCCAAACGACTGCTATATCGATACAATAAAGGCTTGCTGCAGTAGGCCCTTATCCTGACCTTAATTGGGGAAGTACATCGCTGCAAGGTGAAGTACAATATATTTATATGTATCTGAAGGTGTACTATAAAAAGGATCCTGGCATACACAATTTTTCTTCTGTTTTGGCCTTTGTTTTTTCCATTTTTTTTTCCTTCATTTTTTGTTCTGGATGGAGGAAGAAGGGAGAAAAAAAGAGAGAAGAAGGGAATAGAGAAGGGAATAGAAGTCAGAGGAGAAAAAAAAAGACAAGGGCTTCAAGAAGACAGAGCAGGAGACGAATTAAAAGTGGAAAACCAAATGAAAATAAGAGAAGGAGAAAGGAACAGAAAGGAAAGTTAAAGGGAAGAAAAAGTGAGGAACTAAAAGTGGGGAGACAGAATAAGAAGAAAATGAAAAGGAAAGAAAGAAGGAAAAGCGTAAAAAAAAAGAGAAAGAAAAAATAAAAAAGGGAAAAGGAAAGGAAAAAAAGAAGAAAAAATGGGCTAAAAGAGAGAAGGAAATAGTGTGAGAAAAGGGGGAAGAAAACAGGAGGGGAAAAAAGGAAGAAAACATAAAAATAAAATGGCTCCAAACAAAAGATAAAGAAAACATTACAATCCTGGAAAAAAATAAAGGTATCAGTTCTTTCTACTCCCCAAAAAACTCATGAGAACAAGAGGAAATCAATTTCCAATGGACAGCGAGGAGAACTGAATCTATCCCTGGACACTATGCAATATCAATATATACAGGTAATATCTCCCTCTTTAACCATAACCCAACAATCATTAGAAGAGTCTCTAAACAAATTGTACACCAAAATAAACCAGGATTTTGATACAAACATCTTAACATTTAAGCTGGAGCTTACTCACCTTACCAGCAGCTTATCAGAACAAACCCAAATAATCCAAAAATTGCAAGAAGAAAATAACTTATCCTCGACAAATTAAATTCTAGAAGAAAGAATTAACAAATTGGAAAATAAACTAACTGATATAGAAGATAAATCCAGAAGAAATAATATAAAAATAAGAGGAATACCTGAGTCAGTTTCACAAGATCATTTTGAGCAATATCTAAGATCTCTTTTCTCATTATTAATACCATCTCAACAACTGGGTGGCCACCCATTTGAAAGATTCCATCGTCTCTTCAAACCTCAAAATATTTCTCCCACATCCCCAAGAGACACAATAGCCAAATTTGCTAAAGGATACATAAAAAATTTGGTAATGCAAGCAAACCAGAAATCCCCCCTTACAGATCCTCAATGTAAGGACATCAAATAATTCCCGGATTTATCACCTGCTACTCGTCAGATGAGAGGAATTCAATGAAATTACAGCAATACTTATATCAAGTAATATCAGATTTAAATGAAACTTTCCTGTAGCCCTAGCAGTATTCTATCTAGATCAGTCTTATGTATTCAATGACCCAATGTCGGCAAAATAAAAAAATTTAAAATGGAAATTCTAATTCCAAATTTAACTTGTGATAATTAAAAATGTTTTGCCGTTGTTGTTTTCCTTTTCTTTTCCTCTCTCCTATATGGATCAATTCCTAACCTCTTAAGTTAATTGATATATCGATGTCCTTCTATAAAAGGAAATATAATTCTATATTGGACATATATTGCAAATTTCGCCAAGATATTTCACATTTCTAAGTTTTAATTCTAAAAATATATTATATGTCAACATTCTACTCTTATAATTTTACCTTAATGATCCTGTAATATTATGATTATGATTTTTTTAAATGAAATGGTACCATAAGAATTAATGGTCCCTTGAGTTGGGAGAGAGGGAGAGAAAAAGGAATGGGAGAATGGTGATGAATAATGACTGATGGGGTTCTGAACACATTCAATGGTGATTATAGATGTGTTTTATGTAAGTTGTATAACCCTAAAATAGATAATTCTAGATAATAGGAAAGAAAAAGGAAGGTAAATTGGGGTACTACTCAAAGATGAAAGGTGATAAATTAACACTTGCTGAAATACTGTCGACATTTAATGATAAAACGAATAAGGATGCACGGCCCAATTTGACAATGCAATATAAATAGACACTTTACTATCACTAGAGAACTATTCAGGAGAAATATTAGGTTTTCACTGTAATATTGATATAGTATCTCATATTTCACATTCATAACTTATGACTCAATACACTACTATGACCAAATTAATAAAATGATTTTGCACAATTAAATATTTGTCATCATACTATTTTAATTAAGAAAGAAAGAGAACATGGCAAATAATACATCTTTATTTCCTTTTCCTATTATCGGTTTGTTTGTTTTTTGTTATGTTTTAATGTTGCTTTAGAAGCTTCCAAATATAATATGCCTCCTTTAGTTACCAACTAATCCTCACTACCTGCGTAAAAAAAGTAGCAGGTACTTAGTTGAACATGAAGATTTGTTCAACGTTTTGTGTAATATCAAAAAATATTCTTAAAAGGTATAAACAAAAAATATGTTTTATGTTTGTTATTGTTAAAGAACTGCAGTGTCGGGTTCCAATGCCTTGGGTACTATTGCAATAGATGTCACTTAGGTGTGTATCTTGCAATATCCAAGGGTTAAACACACCCCAAAAATGAGGTGCATTGTGTAAATATTTAAAAGATAAGATAGATATTGCACTTATCCAAGAAACCCATTGGATAACCTCTGCTACTAAACTGTCGCATTTTAGTAAATTTCCAATAGTTTATTCTGCTTATTTAGAGGACAATCATAATAAAAGGGGAATAGCCATTTTTTGTCAAAAAATCTCAAATTCGAATTTATTAATTCAGAAAATTAATATGATGGCAGATTTCTACTATTAATTGCTAAAATAATCCATATGGTATTTACACTGGTCAATATTTACGCTCCTAATGACTTCTCAATGGGTTTCTTGGAAGATTGTATCTCTAAGATTGAAAAAGTTGTTTGTGGCAATTTGATTATTGGAGGCGATTTCAATTGTGTATCCAACTTAAACTAAGATAAAAGTAGAAGGGGTGTGGCTTGGCGCCGAACGAGAATCGTGGCGTAATTCCTGCGCTCCAAGCCATGCTGACAAAATTAGCCTGCATCAGCACACCCAGAGCCCTAATGGGCCGCACAAAACGGTGAATGATGACCCCGACCACACAGAGTGAGGGTCTGTCTGCCACCATCCGCAGTTACCTGCACACACCGGGGCTCCTCGCCTCACACCACAAGGCATCCAATATGGCGCCCTCCTCCCCGGGATCAACTGTCTCAGAGGACAGCCTGCTCAGTGCTGCCGGCTCCCGAGACAAGGGAAACCCCACACCGGACTGGTATGCCCTGTTTACCTCCCTGCCAAAAAAGAAGACCTCCAATTAATAGTGCAGGAGGTTAAAATGACCCTCAGAACAGAGATAGCCTCCCTGCACACCTCCTTGCAGGACTTGGAGGGAAGAGTGACAGCACTGGAAAATGCAGGCCCCACAATGCAGGCACATCACTCCAACCAATCCTATGACAGGAAACTCACTGACTTGTGGCTCCATGTGGAAGATCTAGACAACAGGAGCCGCAGGAACAATATTAGAATAAGAGGGCTCCGAGAACCCATAGGCCCAAAAAAACCTAAGGGAGATACTGATCCCGCTGTTTAACCTTATCCTGCACAGACCGCCGGAAGCACGTCTGTACACAGATAGGGCGCACCGTGCCCTCCGCCCGAAGCCACCTCCATCAGCCCCACCGCGAGACGTCATCTACTACATTCAAGACACCCAGCTGAAGGAAGATATCATGAAAGGAGCAAGGACGGAAAGATCATGGCGGTACAAAGGTCAGACCATGGAGCTGTACAATGACCTCTCCCACCTCACCCTGCAAACTCACAGGGCCCTCCGCCCTATCACCACATTACTCCAGGACCACCAGATAAGGTACCGGTGGCACTTCCCGTTCGCGCTTACGGCATGCAAAGACAACATAGAGGCCACAATCCGACTTCCAGTGGACGTCCCCATCTTCCTGGACACCTTGGGACTACCGGCTACCCCGGTAAGGGACTGTACTGATTGCCCCCTCAACGAAAGGCACCTGGGCAGGCCGGTGGCCCGCACACTCGGCTGGTCGGGGATACAATACCACCCCACCAAAGAGCCCACAAAGAGTAGGGCACTGGGCCCCCGTGGCGAATGCACCAGCTAGGCAACACAACCTACCCCTGGAAAAGGACCCGCAACCCACCCAGCACACCCTACCCCCGGAAAAGAACCTGCAATGACCACCATGACCCACGCAAGACAGACTACAACTACGCTGACTTTACCACGGATCATCCTCCACACCTACCCTACCTCCACCAGGGAATGCAGGAATCGGGAACAGACAACCTCACCTGACACTCCCCCTTTTCGCCACACGGCACCCCCACCAACGAGACGGCCACTTGTACCTATGAGACCCTCATAAACTACACAGAGACATTAGCAGCCTAACAAGTGGGACCACAAGGACTGTGCCACAGAGGGGTTGGGGGGTGTTGTGGTTTTTTTTTCCCTCTCTTTCCCACTCTACCACTCTCTCCCTCTCCGTCAAAGCTCAGAACTGCCGGGCTTGAAAGGGCATCTACGAGAACTGACGGAGCCACCTCTCACCAGCGCAGAGCCTGGGAGCTCTCCCCCCACATGGAACTGGTGTCGTATAATTGCAATGCTCCGTATCTTGCTCTCTTTGCAATAGGCCACATGATGGGGAGGACATCAGCGGGGGTGGAGGAGGGAGAGGGGACCACACTGCAGGACCGACAGGGCCCACCGTCCACAACCCCACGACCCACTGAAGATCTCTGCCTGCTGAGACTGCTGACTGACGCCCCTATCCCCCCGACACTCCTCTCCCTCCAGTGGCTCCCACGGCACCTAACGAGATGGACATGCCATCACCTAAAGCCAATGGATGGACCACCCTGCCCTAACCCTGCATCCCCATACATGTGGGACTACCCCCTGAGATGTCAACAAACCCAACAGTAGACTACCAGGAGCCCAAACTCCCCCACCCGCCATAACTCCCTACCCGACCAAACCCTGTGGCCCGACCCCTCACCCTTCCTCCTACCATAACCCCCCTACACATACACTTAACACCCCAGCCACCTCCACAACCCCCAGCCCTAATACAGTAAGGAAAGACAGCCCAGGAGAAACACTCCGCACCAGACATCCGGCTCTCAAACCACCCCAAACCCTCTCAACACCCAGCACACACACTTAGCACACGCCACACCTCCGCACCAACGCACATCGCTCCCCCGCGTGCCCCCGGCGGAGATCACCAGAGGGTACCCGCCAGACACACTTAGGAGACCCTCCCCAGACCCCCAGTCCCCGGACCCAGGGCACCCGGGTTGATCTGCGCGCCCGTTTGCGCAAACATGGCTGCCCCTTGGCTATACCCCTCCCCCAGACACAGGAGGTTACCCCATCCGACCCTCAGAATCTACACGATCAACACAAAGAACTCAACTCTCCACAGAAGTGAGCAACGGCACTGAGAGAACTGAAATCCCTGCGCATATCCACTGCGTTCTTTCAAGAAACGCAGTTTCCATGCCCCCAACCCAGACTCCAAGACTAAAGGCATAACAATACTCTTCTCGGAGGACATACCGTTTTGCAAGGAAGAGGAGCTCACGGACCCCAGAGGTAGATTTCTCTTCCTGAAAGGTACAATACTGAACACGCGATTCACGTTCGCCAACCTATACCTTCCGAACAAGGGACAAAAACCCTTCCTAGGGAAAACCCTTGCATTGCTAGACTCCTTCAGAGATGGCAAATTAATCCTCGGAGGGGACTTCAACGCACCACTAGAACCAAGGCTGGACACCTCAACAGGCCACTCGACCATGCGCGAAAGGTGGTGGACCTGGAGAAGTAGCACAAGTCCACCATGGACGACAATACATACTCACAACTAGTCACCATCAGGGCAGAACTCAACTCCCACCTATCCCAGAAGATCGCCTTTCAATTCAGGCAAACACAGAAGACTTTCCAACGAATACGACAACAAAAGCGGGAAATTACTGGCGAAAGCCCTGAGGAAAGTCAGACAAAAAAGCTTCATATCTGAGATCAAACATAATGGTACCACCCACAACACACCAAAATCAATAGTGGAAGGATTCCGCACCTATTACAAATCACTAACAACGCCGGGGGGGGGTCAGACACCACCAAGACCAAAAGACAAAATGCATACCTAACCAAATACCTCATCAATATGATGGACACAGACACTGCCAACGCCATGGAGGAGCCAATCACAGCTGAAGAACTATCACAGGCCCTGAAAATGGCCAAAAATGGGAAAAGTCCGGGACCGGACGGCTTCACCATCAAATATTATAGAACATACCGCGACGCACTGATTCCACACCTTTTGGCCATGCTCAACACACTCAGAGAAGGGGACAATGTGGGACACAAAACCTCGACCATGACCGAACCAAGCTGCCGGACCAGGACACCACACGACACAAGACACCCACCCTACCACACCCTTAACCAACCACACTCACTTAACACTAAGACCATACAACACCTCCACCAGTCACACCCCACCACACACAGCACCACACAGACCCATCACCATGATGCATCACTGACAAACCCCTAACCCTGATCCAGACAAAAGCCAACTATAATGACCAGGCCAAACCTATAATGGGCCCAACAATACCCAGACAGACCACCCGTTTTATCCTCACCAACCCCACCTTCACAAGGCACGAAAGACAATACCGTGCCTAAGCGGGGAGGTGGAGGAAAGACACCCAGGAACTCCTCCCCCCCTACACAACTACACACTACCTCAGTACCCCAGTGCATACACTGCCAAACAAGACAGGACTCGAACCTGCCCCGAGACAACACTGAACCCCTAAAGTGGAGGTGGGGAGGAAGGGGCCCGGGAACCAGGGAGAACAAGGCCAGACTCAAAGACCAGAACACAACACCAGATAAAGGTGTGCTGACACCACCCAGAGAGACATGCCAAACGTGGCTGCCTACCCACTGGGACCATAGGCTATTAACTTCCAAATTACTAAACAACAACACTATCGGCACATACACACAACCACACCTACTGCACCAACACCTCCACAAAGGCGCATAGAGGGCCCGATTGCCCCCTAACCCTGCCACAACCTCGAACTGAGATGAATAACACGAAGGCACCACAACACTGGTTTTGAGTACAGATGCTCCTACACGGAAACTGACTGAGATGTCTTGTTTTAGACCTTTCGAACGCTGACCTAGATGTATTGTATTGCACTTTTACATCTGTCAACAATTCCTACTGTACTAATGGACACCGCACGAAACTCTCCAACCACACATTACACCAAATGTGTATAATAGCAACTACTTATAATGTACTGTAAAATGATATGGCTACTACTGTTATGCCCTGTGAGACTGCATACACCATGCTCTAAACAATGCATTGCAACATCCCTGTTATTGAAAAATATCAATAAAACCGCTTGAAAGAAAAAAAAATTAGATAAAAGTAACAACAATAAAAAAGATTGGGATTCTAAACTGAAAACATCTGTTAAACACTTAATGCATTTCTGACTAATAACTTACTTTATGTCTGTTGGAGAACTTTTAAATCCAGGGCTGATGTAATATACACATTTTTCTCAAGTCCCTCAGACTTATTCCCGCATTGATCTATTTCTCTCAAAATTTAACCTTTTGGATTTAGTTATCAATTCTAAAATTGGTTCAATTGTTTTATCAGACCATGTTCCATTTTTTTTTATTCATTGAAACTTCTTTCAAATTAGAAATAGATGGAGATTGAATGAAAGTCTTCTGCTAATAGACAATGTAACCTGGCAACGGAATTAGATCAATTTATACATATCAATGTTAATGGGGAGGTCCAAATATCTACAGTGTGGTGTACACTTAAGTTTTGCAAGAGATGTTGATTGCATCCATCATTCCGATCCTTAAACCGTGAAAAGACCCCACAAATACAATAAAATCAGGTTTGAGACATAAGAAAAATAAAGATACAATCTCCAAATTATATATTGACCTGGCTTTAAAAAAAAAAAAAAAAAAGTTAAATAAGGAACAAATAACTCAGGATACTACTAAAGAAATTATAAGATTTAAACAAGCTATTAATGTAAATATCCATGAAAATGTTAATATATCCATTTTATTCCTTAACCCCTTAAGCACCAAACTTCTGGAATAAAAGGGAATCATGACATGTTACACATGTCATGTGTCCTTAAAGGGTTAAACAAAAATGGTGCCATAACAATAACAAAGTCAGTAAAGTTCTCCCGAATAAATTAAAAAACATTGCAAAAGCTAAAGTAATAAAAAAGATAATAGTATATAACAAATGTTTCTTAAGTCCTAAAGATATATCCCAAGCTTTTGTATACTTCTATACTTCCTTGTACAATCTAACAGATTCCAATATGACAGGTTTTGAAATAGACGAACTATTGGATATTCCTAAAATATTACATGAAAAACTTAGAGAGTTGAATGCACCTATTACCAATGCGGAAATTATAAACTCAATAAGAAAAATCTTAAATCCAACAAAGCTACAGGTCCAGATGGTTTTTCAGCCATATTTTATAAAAAACAAATAATTGATATTCTGGCACTTTTTTGTTAAAAACATTTCTGGAAATTTCCAACACAAACCCTTTTCCTAAAGAGATGTTGATTGCATCCATCATTCTGATCGTTAACCCTTTAAGGACACATGACGGAAATATTCCGTCATGATTCCATGTTATTCCAGTCCTTAAGGGGACTGGATGTTATTGTGTCCTTAAGGGGTTAAACCGGGAAAAGACCCCACAAATACAATAAACTACAGACCAATATCTTTAATCTACATAGAAAAATATATTCTCATATCCTTTCAAAGAGATGGAAGTTAGTTATTTCTGACCTTATCATGGTCGATCAGTCAGGCTTCATCAGGGACAGAGGCACAACGGACAATATCCGCAGAATACTTAACTTAATAATTAAAAGTAACCTTGTGAATTCAGATATGGTTATCTTAGCCCTTAATGCTGAAAAATTATTTGATAGGGTTAACTGGAGATTTCTAGGTACTAAAAAAATTTGGTTTTCAAGGTCCCTTTAAGGACAGAATTATGTCGCTATATTCAGAACCAAGTGAAAAAATTGTAAATCCCCTTTTTGAATTGGCTTTATTTCCAGTTAATATTGGTACAAGGCAAGGATGTCCACTGGCTTCCATACTCTATATTCTGTCCATTGAGCCATTGACCATTATGATTAGGAAAAAAGTAAAATACATGAGATTCAATTGTCTGATCGGGATAACAAAATATCTTTATTTGCTGATGATGTGCTTATGACCCTGTTGAAGCCCTTAACTTCAATCCCTGAGGTTCTGAAAGATATCGAACTATATAGAAAATTTAAAAACCAAAGAAAAAAAGTTACCTGCGCTCTTTCCATATCCCTATGTATTTTTAAACAAATGGAGGTTTTTAGTTACCTCCAATGACCATGAGAGGGCATTAGGTGGGTCCTACTCTAACCATTTGCCTTGCTTCCTTGAGCTTCTGGCAAAAATATATCTGAGACAGAAAGGGGTATTTTTTATATACATCCCTACATGCTTATTAACCCTTAATTAATCTCTTCTTAAATCAAAATTTCACTTTGATTAGACTCAAGACTAGATTGACTATCTAGGTATTAAACTATCCTTTAGTATTGTAAATCTGATCCAGCACAATTATGCAGATTTATATAGTTTGATTAAAAGACAACTGAATAATTGGAGCAAAATTGCTATATCTATTTAGATCTTTACCTTTTAGCTTAAGCAGTGACTTGATTCTAGAATATCACAGATTATTTTAAAATTTTATATGGGCAAATAAACGTCCAAGAATATCTCAAAAGATCCTTCAAAATAGTTATCATAAAGGCGGCATATCATTTCCGGGTATTGCTAAGATACTGCTTAGTTGCTAATTTAATCTTATGGACCAAGTCCAAAAGTCTAAATAATGCATTTCAGATCGAACAAGAAACATGCCCGCAAGGTAGTTTAGATACAATATTCTGGTCAGAAAAAATTGATCGAATTGAACAAAAAAAATGTCTCTAATCGACTGCTTGCCAATATGTTTGATACTTTAAAAATTTTGAAAATTAAACTAAATCTTTCAGAATCTATTCTTGTATATGCCCCCATAGAAACACTACAATATAATATGGTAGATATAGATATGTATAACTGGAGGCAACTGGGTATTAAAAGAATAGTTGACATCTTTGAAAATAAAACAATGATAGTTTTTTCCCACTATCTAAGAATTATACATTATTTAAATACAAAAAATATAATATTTGAACACTTTATAGATGGCTATCTAGAAAAAATAGGATCCAAGGATTTAATTATTATTTCTTCTATGTTACTTAAGGAGGGTCAGGCGTTCAAAAAATACCTTCTTTTGTCAAATGGGAAAAAGATCTTAATAGTTCATACACTCCTTTTGAATGGTATTAAAGGACCACTATAGGCACCCAGACCACTTCAGCTTAATGAAGTGGTCTGGGTGCCAGGTCCAGCTAGGTTTAACCCTTTTTGCTGTAAACATAGCAGTTTCAGAGAAACTGCTATGTTTACCTATGGGTTAATCCAGCCTCTAGTGGCTGTCTCATTCACAGCCGCTAGAGGCGCTTCAGCGCTTCTCACTGTGATTTTCACAGTGAGAAGACATCAGCGTCCATAGGAAAGCATTGAGAATGCTTTCCTATGGGACTGGCTGAGTGCGCGGGGCATGTGCATTCAGCCGATGACGGAACAAGAGGGAGGAGAGTCCCAGCACCGAGGGAGCACGGTGCTGGAAAAAAGTTAAGGGATTAACCCCTTCCTCCCCCCTCAGCGCCACGGGTGTGGGACCCTGAGGGTGGGGGCACCCTCAGGGCACTATAGTGCCAGGAAAACAAGTATGTTTTCCTGGCACTATAGTGGTCCTTTAAACTACTATCCCATTAAAAAAAACTATCCATTGTATTTCCTTGTTGGAAAATCTAAATATTTAATTACACAAATTCCAAATGCATTTAAGATATCTATATTTCTTAACTGCAGTCTTTGTGTATGTCTGTATTTGTCACAAAACATATATATAAATATATGTTTATTAAGCACTTATTAACACAGACTGCTACATTTATACATATAAATGTATCATATATTTATTGTTGTTAATGTCTAAACTGAAAATAAAGAGAAGAAAGAAAAAAAAGGTTTGTTTTTAAATACAAAGAAAGTATACAGAAATATATGTACAGTGGATAAGGTGGGCTCAACACTTATGTGAGGGATCCCCTTAATCCCAACAATAAAATCAGACACGCAAAAAAATTAATATAAGTGGAGCTCTAGTATACCTTTGTAATGGTATAAAAGATGGGTACAAATGGTGAAACAATTTACACAAATCTGTGGAAAATATAAAACACAACCATAGTGCAGATGGTATAGACAAGAGTAGTAAAGTATGGATGCAAAATTTCCAACTCACAAGGAAAGAGCCAATAGGTCATCTGACTCCAGTGTATAGCGCC